TATTTAATATTGAGAGAGAGAGAGAGAGGAGACTCTGTTACCTTTGGGAATAGGCGCAGGAGCTTGAGGTAAATCAGTAGCGTGGAGACAGTTTGCAAACTTCATCCCGCATGACATGAGGAGACAAAACGCGAGGTACTCCATTGCTGCTGTGAGGCTGTGTGACCCCCCCGACTATCAGCCCTCCGTCCAACGCTGGTCAGGGTCGCAGTGTCGCCTTCGCTCTCGCGATGATAAATAATTACAGGAAAAAAAGAAAAAAAAAACTCTTGCGGAGTTTAGCGGAGGGGCAGCTGTTGGGGACGGATTGTATTGCAGGGAGGAGCGGTATAAGTACTGCACTACTGCAGGGCGGGGGGGTTGTTTGGGGGGGGGCTGGGCGGGGTTTTCTTAATTACGGCCAATTCCTGGTGAAGTCACGGCCCACAAAGAGAGGCGAGATATCGGCGCTCAGACCTCACGCAGGGACGTCCCGCGTGAAAGTGCCACTGTGCCACTGAGCACAGCTGTATTTACCCCCCCCCCCTAATTTAGCCTACCCCTCCTCCACGGTCCCCTCCCCCCTGTGAACCAACACTGCCCCCCTTCTCCCCCATGCTCATGCAAGCTCATGACTTTCCGTCGTTAAAACCAAGATGTTAAAATACAAGGAGCACATTTTTATTTTGAATTATGGGGGTAAACTTGGGTTTATCTTAAACTTTAATAAACTTTTGAGGCAGTAGAGGGGGGGGGGGGGGTGCATTTGGTGGCTTTACATCAGCTATACCACTGTGCAGGAATACTTAGTTTCAGAAAATGTATTTCTGGCATCGAACCAAAAACTTTTTATTTTTTAGTCGTGCACAGGTGGGAGAAACTGAGGAAACAGAAACAAAACATTAAATTCAGCTTCCATCAACCGTAATTGCATCTGTTTGTGTCTCATCCCTCGTTACAGGTAAAAGAAAACTGTCTGCCAACACTTGACTGCCGCGCCTACATGGTTTTACCTTAATGACATCACCGGGTCCATGGTTTCGTATGCAGAGGGAGCCGAAGCCAACGTTTTTTTTTTTTCTCCCTAGAAATGATCTCTTTCTAGAGAAGCCCCGATCAAACCAGAGTATGTAGCCGTGCCAGAAAACACAGCATGGAATACTCTACTTGGACTTCGACCACTCTTTCTTATGCAATCTGGCACGCATTTCAGTGAGCGCTTTCTGGCAACTGTCGTGTCATGATAAGACCGTGACGTTGAATCCGTTCTGTTCTGGCCTACTGTTACAAACCGGAATTCAAACAGGCGTAACTATACTTTTTCCCATTTAATCAACACAGAATGCATGGTACAAAATACTTTTTGTGACACAAGCAATGAGAACAAAAAGGTGACCCCCCCCACCCGAAGGTCAATACTTTGTAGAAGCCCTTTTTGCTAAATGTACAGCTGTAAGTTCTTTGGGGTATATCTTTGCCGGCTAGATCTTTGCCAGATCTACAGACGGAAATGTTTGACCGTTCTTCTTGGCAAAAAAACCCTGAAGCTCGGTCGGATGAGACTGAACAGCAAGGAGACCGTCTGTGAAGAGCAATTCTCAGGTCTTGCCATAGATTCCCAGCGTGATTTAGGTCTGGGCTTTGACTGGGCTATTTTAAGACATTTGCAGGCTTTGATTGTAAACCATTATGGCTCCGGCCGTATTTAGGATCATTGTCCTGCTGGAAGATGAACCTCCGCCCCAGTCTCAAGTCTTTTGGAAGCTGCATCAGATTTTCTTCATGCCTTGTGTTTGGCTGTTCCGTTTCCCTGTCGACCACATCATGCTACCACCACCATATCTCACAGTCGGCTTTCTGCTCCCCACTCTTCCATAAAGGCCACATTTGTGGAGCACACCTGTGGATCTTTGCAGCTCTTCCAGACTTACATGGGCCTCTTAGCTTCTCTTTTTCATTTTCTATGCACCCGAACCTTTTAAGATTCTTATTTATAAATCATTTTGAAATCCATGTAACATATCCTCCCCACTTCCAAATGACGGACTATTTTGTGTTGGTCCATTTGGTAAAATTCCAACGAAATACACTTTAATGTGTGGTTATGACAAAATGAGGGATTGAATACTGTTTGTGGTACAGAACCTCATGCGTCCTGATTGCACTGTACTGATGTGGAAATAAGCCATGTGTTGCTTCAACTTTACTGTCTCAAGTCCAAAATCCCACCACAGGGAAATATCCCCTGGTTTTGATTAAGCCCTGAGAAGTTATATCAGCGCTTTAATACCACATCGGAGGCCTGAACCCGGAGATGTGAAATACTGCAGCCTACAAGAAACACTCGACGCAGGGCGTCGTCGCTTCTTAAGAACCTTTTTTCGACGCGTGTTAGAGGAGCTCCTGGTGGCAGCAATGACACTGATGACAACGTTTCGATGTGAGATGCAAGTGGCGCGGGGTGAGAAAATTACGTTTAATTACACAAAAATACGCCTATGCGAAAAATAGACTCCCCGGAGGCTTCTGCGGTGGGCCAGGATCTCATCAGGACACCTGCATGTAATTACCCCCCCGCACCAGATCATCCTGGGTATCAGCAGAAGGCAGCAGCCTTCGGATTACGGCGCACACATGGACTCGGCATGTTCATCAAACCGTAAAAGGAAGCGCCGATCCTCTCACTGCACAGGTGGTGTGCTCGGAGGTCTGCGTTTTAGTTCAGGCGTATTTCAGGGCCAAATAAAACACACGAGCTTCCAGCGCTCACTGTCGACGCATTAGTAAAAGACTAAACAGTGTTTCGGCTCTATGACAACTGCGGACCGTCTTCTATTTTCAGCACCGTCGTGGCAGGCGTTGAGAAGAAAGGTGATTCATCAGGGAGGCCCATTACAAAGGAGAAGCCCAATATTGATCTAGAAGTTCTTATCGTGAAGAAGACCTGTGAGAAAAGGGGAACACATGGGGGAAATGAAGCTGCAAGTATTCCACCCGGTCGTTCCACTTCTTTTCCCCTTTGGACGACCATCGATAGTGGAGGGCATACGATGCAAAGAGCGCGTTGACCCCTTCATCTCTGTCAGTGTTCCACTTTAGGTGATATAGAAAGCACAAATCCCAGGACACTTGGTGGTTTGGACCCACCTTGCATTTTCTAGTCTATTTTTTGACCCGACTGGTCCCAACCGGCTGGTTTTGCAATGGCACTGGTGAGTCACACACCACGGAGACTTTGTCCCCCAAACCTCGCTTGGGAACCCACAATTGCACCCTGATCGTGGAGGAATGGGTTTGTTTTAAATTTATTTTTATCCCAAATGCTTTGATCACTCAGCAGAAGCTTAATTACTAGTCCAGATCAATGCAGGGGCATCGCTCCTTTCTCCTCACTCATCTTCCTGTGAATCTCTCTTTAATTCATCCGTGGCTCAGTTCGGTCTACGTTGGGTACCACTTATGAGGCCACGGGGATGCCGGGGGTGTCGTCTCGAGGGGCTGCTAGGAGGGGGTTTCATCAACACTGCAACGACGTAAACAAGCACAGCAGGTACATTACTGTCCGCCACAGAAGGGAAAAGAGGTTGGACACGGATTTATTCACTTTGATCTCAGGGGGGGGTCTTCCTTCTGTGGTCTCAGAGCACGAGCCTGAGATTTAGGCGGCATATTAAATTCCTAGTTGAATATTTGTTTGCAATTTTTCAAACCTGTGTGATTTTCTGTCCTTTAAATTGACGTTTCCACTGCACAGACAGCGCCTTGGTTCCAGGGTTCTTTGAAAATCACCCATAATAAGCTCTTTGGCTGGCTTTTCATTTAAATGTCATCATTTAGGCAGCTATGTTGAAACCACAAGGGTTTTAAAAAACATCCCGGAAGTTGGTCAAGCAGAGGAGGATTAAACCGTCACATTCATTTTGTCCTTCCGCCCCCCTTTATTACCCTAACAATGTCTTTACACATTACTAGTAGATAATGCCAGATACTGTTTGGAAGTTAAGGAACGGTTGCCTCGACGACTATTTTCTCAATGCGGGAAGGATTACGTCTTTATTTTTCCCAGAAGTCACGGGGAGGAGGTGGGTTATTACCGCAGTCACGCCGCTTAGGACTCCGACACTGTGGACTCGGGTCCCACCGAAAAACCCAATGGTCGAGTTTTGATTAGATTTAGCTTTATTAAGAAAAAGGTTTTCATGCTGTAATTGCCAAATCAACTACATCTATCCCTCTTTTTCAATCTGTTGATAAAATCAAACTAACACAAGCAGAAGCGTGGGTCCCTTTGGAAAACTGATGAGGTCTGGCGTGTCTCCACTCTTTGATTTGTTCTCAGGAATGCTTGTGTAAAAGCAACATTTTTTTTCTTTACATTGGACGACTAGCTTTCCCCCCCCAATTGCATGTGCATGGTACATGTTGCCTCGGTTTAAAGCACCAGGCCTTACGAGATCCTTTGTGTTGCTGTAAATTGCACAGATAAGAGGTTTTAACTGACAGGAGAATAGATGATCATTGACGGCATCACCAACGGTGTTCGGTTCATCCTTTGGGGATTACTTGCAATGTTTGCACCGAAACTTCACAAACAATCCATCCAGCCGTTGTAGGGACACAGCACTCGCAACCACAAACGTTACACAATTTATCCTCCGGGAACCGCGTCTGTGTGCTAAATCCATGGAGCAGATGTCGAGCGGTTCCCCGGGACGAATACTTTGCCCTATTCTGGAGTAAAATTCATTAGGGTGCCTCTGGACAGTCGCTGAGACATCTACGCCCGGACCAATGCCACGGAGCACCTGAATGGAAAGAGAAATGGCCCCTACCTCCATAAGAGGTAGCGCAGGGCATTCATGTGAATATCAAACGAAAGTAAGTAATTACATTAAAAGGTCCGACCAATGTAACGCCCCCTGTTCTGATGGGAATAGTCTTTTTGTTGGGTGCTTGGTTTGTGATGGTCCATGAAGCTGTTGATTAAAACCTCCAAAAACAAAAGATAACACACATCACAATATGTGTTTATATATTTATTTTTAAAGTGTTTCCATGGACTGTTTGCACAATTTAAGCGAAGCTCACAGAGTTTGTTTGCATTCATTGCATGACTCAAAGCAATCACAGCATCAGTGCAAAGGTATATATATATATATTTTTAATACATAGTTGACTGGGAAGAGCTGAACTCCCTTCGTGTCACATTCTGATTTTTGGCTTTTAAAAACAATCAAAGAGCCTTCAGAGGACGTAACACCAGCATCTTGTCCTACAGATGTGTGGTGTGAGAGTTGTACACCAGCAACTTAAGCCATGCAAACAGTAGTATGCAAAAAACATTCACCCGTTCTTCAGTACTGATGTATTCAGTCCTAAAATATAAAAAGAATAGCCAGAGTCTCCCCTGGAAATATCAGATCTTTTAAATGGCAGTTTATTTGACTTTTGTTTTACAAAAATAAAAGCGTTTAAGATTTAGTATTTAGAAAATGACTTGGATGGGTGTTTTTTCATAAAGCTACAACAGAGCTCTTAATCGCCTTAATGTTGATGTAGCGCACAGTTCAATTCTCTGTAACAATACTTTCGCCGTCCCTAATCAGACTGATGCCTCCATTTAAATCCTTTTTAATTTTAAAAAGCTGTGAAACTATGAGCAATGCAACGGTGAAAATGCTCAACATTCAGGCTGATGAACCCGTGTGAGACGCTTTGGTGTAGAGAATCGCCTCCAAAAGATGACTTTATCATTATATTCATAGTACCAGGTGCAGGTGTGCATATCCTGGATCAGTATAATGAAGTAGAATGCATCTCATCCTGAGTTTGTCTGAAATGATAACACAGTAAAAAGCTATACAGCGCAAGCAGGCATTGGCCTCGTCTATATGGGCGTTGTCAGGTTATTTTAAAATGAAAGGCTGGCTCCCTCTTGTGGACAAGACGGACACGTTGATCCATAAGCCGCCCACTTTTAAGTAAACAACCCCATATTGACTGTAACGATCAATCATTCATATTATGACATTGTAAAATATTATTGAAATTCTATGGTAGTTTATGCTTTAGTGAAAATGCTCATCGGGCACACACATGTCCACACAAAGCAGTGCATGCACACACATCGTTTAACAAAATATGAATCAATAAATAAAGGCTTTGAATGTCTGAATTAGTTACTACGTTACACCAATCTTTTGGTTCTCTCTCAGTGTAGCTAATACGTTAGAATACAAGCCTAGTGTTCTATATGAAGTAACATCTCGTCTATAAATATGACCAAATTACAAAAGTGCTATGCGGCCATAATGACACAAGTCTTTCTTTCTTGTGAAAGAACTATATAACAGCACTTGCCAGTAATGGTGTCCCCTTTTCATGGACTTTTTCAAGTTACGTGTTTTTTTCTTCAGTGATACCAAAAGGTTCTGGACCAACATGGGCTTAACAAGCACAATGTAAACAGGAATAAAAACCTCCTCATCTCAAACACTGCTCCGTGCATTCACAACCCGGCGAGCAGGACTAAAATAAACCTCAGCGTTTAAGGAACCGCCTACTTCCTTTCAAAGGTCTGTTTGAAGGTCGTTCTATGTGTCTATGTGGGGGGGCGTTTGGGACTGATCATCGTGGCTTCGTGGCCTTTGTTCTTCACCCCGATTTCCCGTTTGGCTCCTAGTTATTGGTCTCAAAGAACATGAAATCCTGCGGAGAGAAAAGAAGAAAGTGTCGCACAAACACGACAGACCTACACAAGGGAAAAAAACGATCCGAAGGCGGAATTCATCCTTTGATCGCTTGAGAAAACGTCAACGTAAATCAGATTTCACAACGATACTTACAATGAGGAAACATGCGCCGATCATCACGGCCTTCATCTTCACGTCCAGATCCATGGGGAACTGGATACCGAAGTTGTCTGCGTCTGTGAACGCCTCCCGGAGAAGCCCGGTCCACTGCTTACTGATCTTCCCAATCTTGCTGACTTCGTCCAACGTCAGGATCTGCCGGAAGGAGTCAGAGACAACGTGTTGCTTTAGGATGAGGATCAAATAACCATTCTAATTCCCATCCATGCCCTCTTGCCACAGCACCTAGACATCCCAAATCCCCTGCTGTGGTCATGGTAACGGCTCCGTCTCACCGACCCTTGGAAAGAAAGGTCTGGATCGCTCCGCTGGGGGACGAACCCACCTCGAAGTCGACGTCCGGTAGGCAGCTCCATCCGCAGAAGGGCCCGTGGATCTTCAGCACGGGCTCCAAGTGTTCGTTGGCCACGATGAATTTGGGGGAGAACGGGTGCCACTGTTGCGTGACGTAGCCCACCGTGTTGCCGGGCGGAGACTGCACCTCCAACTGGCAGGGGGGACGGCGACAGAGAGCGATTAGTGGCCCAATGGCAGAGTTATCGATAACACACGGGGGTCGGAGGGGGGGGGACCGAAGCGGCGCGCCACCCACCTCCTGCAGGCAACAAGGGAAGCAGCACGACATGCACTTCAGCGGGCGCGTGACGGTGATGACCTCCTGGCCGTAGTTGTCGAGGACGTGGATGTTGAAGGAGCGCATGGGGCCGCAGCACTGCCGGCTCAGGCAGTCGTTCTCCTCCACGGCGTAGAAGACGTTCTGGCCCACGGTGTTCCGCACCTCGTACTTGTTGTTGCTCTCGAAGCCGACGAGGGCTGCGCGGGGAAACGGCGCGCGTGAGAAGGGGGCGGCCAATCGCCGCGGGAATGAAATGTGCAGCAGGGTTGCCGCGGCATGTTGACATACTCTACCTTCAACGAGCTCCACTTTCTGTTTGATGAGCAGCTGATCCACCTGGAAGACCAGAGGGAGGGACATGAAGCAACATTAGACCCAAACTTTTCATCATTTCATTAGTCGCAGCAGCAGGAGCGCAGCTCTTATCGGTGACGTTAATAGACGGCTCCGGTCTTTCTGAGTGACCTCGGTGAGCCGTGTTAGGGATTTAAGCCAGAAGTGCCCCCCTAGTCATAGAATTTATAGTACGTGTAATAATGTTTAGTGTTAGAATTATAGTCTGTGTGATGTTAGATATTAGTTATTACATTAGCATGTTAGATGAAGTGAATACAATTTGAATCAAACACAGTTTATAGTCATTTAAATCATATAAACACTGTACACATTAACATTCTGCCACAATGTGATGTCAAAACCTGGGGACGGATGCTAATTGCCGTCCTTTATGGGTTTCTCCCAATTTTATCCCTCAAAGGGGGTTTTTGGGGAGTTTTTTCTCCTGTCAGGTAGTAAATGAACAACTTAATGTAAGGCAGCCGACTAAGGCAAATGTCTTGAGAATTGGACCACATGAACTGTTTAATCTTACGATGAAGTGTGATGAACGGGGATCATTAATGATGTGTTGTAATTAAGGTTACAGCTGCAGCTTCACACCTCGATGTGAAGGGGACAATGAAGAAGAAGCCAATGGCATTCAAATGCACCCAAGAAGAAACACCTCAAGAGTTTTCAAAGGACCAAAGCGGGGAAAGGACTGTTAGAATTTTCCTGCAGCAGCTTTGATAAGTCACTTTAGACTTGCTCAGAGGATTCTCTATTTCGCGAAATATTTTACCGTTCGCTTTGTATTTCACTTTGTAATTGTATTCCTTATAACGTTGTTTAGTTATTAAATACTTTTTGATTTTTGAATTTAAGCAAGCTGACTCTTTTGATTCTTTGTTTCCGGCCGGGACGAGAACAAAGGAGTGAGGCCTCCCTCGAGAGCTTTCTGAAACCCCAACAGCCGTGATGTTGCGTCTGAAACTGAGCCGCTTCCTTTATTGAATGATTTACCCCAGCGCTTTTCCTACGGTGACATGTTAACGTGTGGAACGATGTGTATCCTGAGCTTGATGCACCAATGTTAAATAATTGAGTCAGGAATACTTGCTCATTTCCACTTCCCTAGATGGGAACATTTACAGACTTTCTATTGGCCGCTGGACTAAATCCACCACTCCAACGCCAAGGAAACAAACAGGCAGCGAGCTTCGTCTCTTACCTGAGTCAGGTATTCCAGTCCTGGGGGGCAGGCCGGGATTTCAGGGTTGGGCACAGCGTACATATTCATATTGCCGTTGTCAGCCTCGGAGGAGATCTGTTGACACACCGAATGATCGCGCACAGTGAGATGCTACAGCGCCACCTGCTGCTTCTGCAGGTGGAGCTGCACGAAGCGAGTGATGAGCGGTTCCCATGTTCCCTCAGTGTGGGGAGGACACATAATCCGCTTTGTGTTTAGTGGGAGTGACGGGGGGAGGGGGGCGCTACTGACGGGAAGACAACGCCCCCCCCTCACGGGAGTTTATACTCCGTGGTGCGTTCGCGTAAACAACCACGGGCCTAACGGGACGCCGGGGCGGTTCTCGACCCGTGTTGCGCATTGGGTTCAGAAGAGTGAGGTATTTAAAAGCATGAGTAGATCTCCATGTTGGCGCCTATATGTACATGCTCATACCTGTATATTCTCCTTGCAGACAGTGAGGGATAGAGAGAGAGAGAGAGAGAGGGAGCGCCCCCGACGTTTCATTCAAAGGAGAGGCGGAGTTTTTTAAAAGCGACGGACTCGCGGCTGACGTCACGCCCCCCCCCCCCACCCCCCTCCCCCGCCCCCGCCCGCGCGGTTCATGTTCCAGAGCAGATTTCTGTTTCATCGGTGCGAGGATTTACTCACCGAAAGGTTTCAACCCGCTACTCCGAACAATAACAGGCCACTGTGAGACACAAGCCCCCCGAATGAACCGATAATCCCATTGGTCGACGTCATTGCACTTCCGTTCTGCCACGCGCCAATGAGAAGACGGCAGTGCGGAAGAGGGCGGGGCAGAAGACTAGAGCGGTTATGATAACAATATTAATAATAATAGAACTCGCAGGTTTAACAAACCGTCTGCAGTACGGGAAACGCACACTAGTTTGTTCAGTTTAGGGTTCAACGGGACACATTGGGAGGGTTTCTGATTAGTATAGAAGCTGAAAATAAGTTTTACTGGCCGTGTTTCAGAACTATTTAGGCCTACCGTGTCGATAAATTGACAGATTTTTTGTTTACCTTCCTCTAAATGTCACACAAGAGACAGCGTAATAGGTCAAATGTATCACAGGGTTTAATGAACCTCCATATCTATTTGTGACTTAGTTTTTGTATCTTTGAATAAGGTGTAATCAGACCTCCGTCCAGAGTTCACGGCCTGCATTCACAAACATGTGAGTTTTTCCCAAAATGGGGAGATTAAGAGCAATTTGGAAAGCACCTCACAGCAAGAACGTTACTGAAACCTCGTGAGGAGGTTGACCTGTAGGTGTGACATATCATTTTAAAAATTGCTGTGGATATGGATGTGAACTCCATCGGCCTTGTCATCAAATTTAGTCGGTTTTATGTAATGAACATCTGTGCTCAAACCTAACTCAACTGTTTTAAATTCTAATAAACCTGTAGTGAACAGTTGGAACATGAGTCTGTGCAGATTATAAGGATGCATGTGTTGCATGTGAATCAGTTATTGCCTGGTTCACTTGCACATACGAGGAACATGACTGGTGCAATACAATAAACGGGGTGACACATTGATTTTCTTTTTAAAAAGAACTATAGAATAAACAATCAAGTGTGAAGGGAATATTTAATGTCAACGCATTTGTAAATAATGTCAATCAATATATGGAAAATGCGTAAACACAACACATGAAGGAATGCAATCTTCCAGGAATACCATCGTGCTCCTGTTGAAGTTCACTCTATCTGCTGTCGTGCAGCGGTTGTGGGACACCTGCCGCATCGGAGCAGATCGCGTGTTATGAGAGACACCAGAGCGCCGCCGTCCCCGAGCAGCGGGAGAATAACCGCTGACAGCCGTGACCACGAAGCTGTGCTCCACGTCACTCAGCTGCACGCTGGAGCGGCGCAGGCACGAAGGGAGGAGATGGCCGCGGGCTCCCCGCTCCGATCCCGCGGATTCAATGGACGCAGTAAATGTGGAGGAAAGAAAACAACTGTAAACACCTCAGAAAGATGAGCCTTCTCCCTTCGTTCAAATACACAAAGGGATCTGATTATAAAATGTTCTTTTCACAAGCTCACACCGCATCCCATCATATCCCCAGGAAAAAAAGTGGCATGGTTTCTATTTCTCATCACACACAAATTGATGTGTGCTCTTTAAACTGCGCGCGTGTGTTGTTCCCCCTCGCAGCCGCTGGAGAGCAGTGTTGAGCTGCCGATCCTCGGCCTCGTGGCCATTACCAAGACTAATGCAGAAAAGGCCTTTTCAGTGCGGAGCAAAATAGTCCTCAAACAGACACGCACGCCTGTACACGCAGTACACACCCACACGTGCACTTACCAGCCCGTAACAAATGACGTGTTGTTTTGGCCGAGTGTCCTTATTTAGCGAATACAAATTACCTGATCTCCTCAAGCGCCGCTGATTTCTCCAAGAACCGCTAATGAGAACAAACGATGACTCGCACACAGATCTGCTGACACTTCAGGCCCAGACAACTACAACATGTTTTAATTGATTCTTGTTACTGTAATTGCTTGCATCGACCTCGTGGAGCCGAGAAAGCACCGCATTTATAACGGTGTGTTTTCTGCTTTACAGATAAATGTGTATATATCTTATTTTTGTACACATGCTCTTCATTTCTTTACTTTTTAGTTGCTTCTTTAACTGAGCTTCAAACCCACTCCATGGCCCTTTAATTATCAGCCCGACTGGGGCAACCAGAACCTAGAAACTCCTGTTCTTCTTCTTCTTCTTCTTCCTCTTCTTCTTCTTCTTCCTCTTCTTCAGTGAGATCAAAACAAAGCACTGCGATGACTTTGAAATGGTGGCTGTTCCGTGCCCCCATCTGAATAAACACACCGGACAGTCAGGGGTCTTTGAAAGCCAGTCAGATTGTCTTTCTGACTCCAACAGCCCAGTAACCCCCACCTGGGGTGTGTGTGTGTGTGTGTGTGTGTGTGTGCATATTGTAGTCTCTGCTCTCTACATTCCTACCTGTTTTTCTGTGCGTTTGTGTTTTCTTTCTTTTGGGTCGGGCGCTAAGGTGGTGCTCTTTACCCGCACGGGTAATCTTTCGTGCAGCCCTAACGAGGTTGTCATGCCCTAGGCGCGTAACGAGGAGCCTAAAGACGAATGTGGAAATGCCTCCATTACACCGCTTTCACCCTCTCGTTCATTAGGTTAGCATAAGGTTACAATGCATTACACAAGGGCCCAACGTTGCACACACACGATCGTATGTGTCACCGAGGGGTTGTGTGTTAGTTGGCCATGATAGTATTTATTTATGTACACACAAGCGTGCATAGTTGTACTGCACTCGCCCCAAATTGAACCTGTATCTGTCCCTCACCAGAGCACTGACTTTGTCTTGCTCATATTTCTTTGAGTATAGGGCTTAAAAAATGTCCCAATCATGAGGTTTTTTTTTTTTTTCTAATACATACGTCTCCAATTCACAACCCAACGCGCCAAAAATGCAAATCCACGGCGCACGTGTTCATCATGCGCGGATGTCCGAAATTGTCCACATTCACCTCTTTTGTTATTGCGCTCCTCCGTGTCTTCACCTCTGCCCGTCCCTCACCTCCCTCCCTCCCTCCCTCCCCCCCTTTTTCTTCTCCTCCTGTTTCTGCACCCCTGACAAGTGCTTTGTTTGCTGTGACTTTCCATGCGGTTATCTGAGCAGAGACAGTATGCCTCGCCCTGGCACAGGACCTCTGTTTCCACGGCAACTTTATAATTGTTTTGGACGTGCTCCAAGCGCCACTGGATACCGAGGCATTATTGATGTCAAAGGAAACATGTATGAAACGGGGAGTTGCGGAGGCGTCCATATGGTTCCGTACACAGCCTCATGCGAGGCCGTTTGACCGTTTTTCAATGGGAGTTTTGTGACGCCGCTTGAATGGGTCCCACATGTGTCCCCGTGATATTTCATAATTTTGATCTTTCTCTTTCACAAAAGGGATAATGGAACGCAGTACAGCTACTGAACTGTGCAATATTTCCCCTATTCATGCCATTAAGTCATTGTCACAGTGTGCACTGCTGGACTTGAGGGTTGTCGACCAGACTGAATACAATATGTCCATCATGATGCATTTGAAAATAGCAACAAAAAAAAAGATTCTGAATGGTGAAAATGAGAATGGGGTCCAAACGCAACAGATGAAGGGAAATAAAAGTCTATCTGAAGCATCCTCCAGTTAAAGAATGACGGAGTCGGCCTCTTCAAGTGGCATCGTCTTTGTCACCGTTACCATATTGGGACCCTCAACACCCCCCCCCCCCCCCCCTCCTCCCAACACACAAACACACACACGCACACATCATAGCAACACCCCTGAGCTGTGGCCACATTAACCGCTACGCCACAACACTCATTAAAATAGCATATAGTGTCAACAGCAGTGTGGCCCCCGAGTGGATAAATCCCCCAAATCCTCAGTCTTAACTTAATCCACAGACTTGTCTTTGTATCCGACAGTTGGCCCCCGAGCAGCAGGTTCGCTTCGTACTGTTGCTCCTTGGAACTTTGAGTCTTTCGACGCCGTCATATCGCTGAATGTGTGATTAAAAAAACAAAAAAAAAGCAAAAAAAACCCTGAAATAAGGTCCTGACTGATCTTTTTTCTCTGATCCCGAGCTTCCCCTCCCTCCGCTTAATTTATGACCTGTGAGGAGGAACCCAGGGAGTGAGAAGTGAGTGAGACGGGTGTGAAAGCCCTGAATAGAGCAGGGGCAACAGGCCCTCCAAATAACACAAAAGAGGCACCACAGCTGTTTGGAGGCAACACAAGCCTCTTCGCGAAGGCACCGTCTTCTGCGCCGAGCTCCCAGACTCCGGCACTCACGCTGACTCCGTGAGCCCGAGTTGTTACGCAAATACTGTAACACAAAACCTTTCCGAGATGTGTGGGAACAAAAGTTTGAAAGAAGACTAACAAGTCCGCCCGTTTATTTGAAGCCCCTCGGCTTTCGTCGGTGATATTTGTCGCTTGATGTTTCGTACCGGGGCCTTTTTTTTCCCCTTTTGATTGATTCGATCTTTCCAGCCGGACAGGAGGAGGCGAAGACATAAGTAATGCGTAAAAGAGATCCCAAGCCGGGTCTGCTCTGTAGCAAGAGCCGAGAGGAGGGAAAGGAAAAGAAAAACGCGAGAGTGTCACCGGGCCTCCGCGGGGGGGGGGGGGGCTCGTGTCGAGTGCCGGTTACCGACCGCAGACCGCAGCCAAAATGTTCAGAATTTCAGGATCCGGGGGTTAAAAGTTCAAGGACGCGTTTTTTTCCCTCTCCCACTGTGGCGAACCCGCCGTCTCCGTCATAAATTACTCTCCCCTGTACCGAACTCTGTTTGGCTTCGCGTTCCTACGTAGCTCCCCCACATGCGAGACACGTGTGAACTCTTGATGGCGGCTTTTCTGGATAACTTTATCAAACCGTCGGGACGACAGGAGGCGCCGTTTTTAAACCTGAACACCTGTCTTTGTTTGCACTTAGTGGGCCGCAGTTCTCTCCCTGCCCACACTTGGAACCGTATTACCGGAACGGAATGCTGAAATAACCGGTCCGGCATTAACCGACGGCTCTTCTCTCCGCTGTCTTTTTCTTGTCCTTTTTTTTGCCCACCCCCCCTCCCCTAAACCCATCTGCGGACCACGAGCCATCCCCAAACACCGGGGATCAACCGAGGTGTTATTTTTCAAAGCTGGCCCCCGGCCCCCTCCTGCCGAGGGTTCGCGGCTTCGGTTCAGGGGGA